ACAGGGTGGTCTAAATTGGTCTGTTTTAATAGAGAAAACCTATTTCCTGACTAGATACAGCAAAACCGACATAGATGTCATGGGCTCGATTTCTGGGACACGTTTAATGGCGTAAACCGCCTGTTGATATTTTCACTGCCAACTGAGATACGGGGGTCTTTTTGATTTTTTTACCATTTGGAAAATTGCCCATAACTTTTGTATTTCCCGGAATAATAAAATTCTGTAAAAACGTTCTTAACGCACTTTTTATGCACAATCCAGTGGCGTAGTCAGCTTTTTTTCTATACTTTTTTGTCAGAAATAATAAAAAATATAATTTTTTAAGTGGAAATCATTATTGGCTATGAACCCAAAGAAATGCTGGCGGTTAACCCTTTCCAACAATATAAAGTTATGTGTATTTATTTCTGGGGATTAAATGGGAGAAATATTAAGTTTTTTATCTTTGTATCGAAGCGGGCCTTGATTTTATATTGACCTAGTTGCCTAATTATTTTTTATCACAATTTAATATTCTATATTATTATTTATCTGCATAATTAAAGACTTTTGAAAAGGTAAATCAACATTCTATATTAGTATTACCAATTACAATTACTTAAAACACCAGGGTTACAACTGAACTATTATAATGGATAATTTAGACAGAATTGGATTGGAACAAGAGGCCCATATCTTGGTCTGCTAGATCCTGTGATTCAACTCCTTTCGACTTTTTTATGGGGGAAATTAAAAGACCTAATATATAAGGAAAGAACCATTGGGACGAGAGAAGAATGGCAGAAGGCTACTAGCACAGAATATCTTGCGTAGCTAGATATTCAGTGATACTAGCTACTAGGCAAGCTTTTGGACTTATTACACCAGTTCCTAATAAATCGGTGACGATTTCAATGACCTTTTTTTTCTTTGTTTATTGTACTTATATATTTCAATTGTCATTACTAATACTAATATAGAATGTTAATTTACCTTCTCAAAAGTCTTTAATTATGCAGATAAATAATAATATAGAATATTAAATTGCGATAAAAAATAATTAGGCAAACAGGCCAACACAAAATCAAGGCCCGCTTCGATATAAAGAAAAAAAACCTAATATTTCTCTCATTCTTAGAAATATATACCCATACATTTATATCGTTGGAAAGGGTTATACGCCAGCATTTTTTTAACTCTTATGTACTAACATATTAAAATAGTCGCGCCTATACTAACAGACCGTCTGAGAGACGTATTAAAAAAATACATATTTTGTTTGTGTCTAACAGATTTTTTGCAAGTGGAGTGAATCATTAGCATTAAAACTACAGGAAAAAAATATCTAATGCTTATATTATGCGAACATGTTTTATATTTTTGAAATAAATGTACTAGTTTTGGATTTTTGACATATCTTTGTTTCTCATCGAGATAGAAAAAAAAAAACGAAAGGAAAATGAAAACTGTATTTATTATTATATTTAGCATATAAAAACCTATCTATTAAGTACAAAAAAGCGAAAGAAAATATAAAGAATAAAAAAATGACAATGCCTGAAGATGGGCTTGTTCCCTACACACTTTTTTGCGCATTCCAAACAAATTGTTCTCTTCACTTTCTTCGATATTAGTCTACTGATCGTTCAAATCCATATTTTCATCATCTATAACAAAACATACACAGCTACATACCATTAGATATTAGTTAAAAACCATTTTTTTACCTTCTAATTCGAATTCAGAATTATGATCGCTCTCTATGGCAAAATTTTCGCCACATTCGGATTCTATGTCACTATTTTGCTATTATCGCTGCCAGTCTCTTCAAACCACCTTAGAAGAGTATCCTTGTCATTTTGCTCTCCATACTTTACATGTTTTGAGCTACTAGGTGCTTGATTCATTCCACAAATTAAAAAAAAACTTACGTTAACGCTAACACTCTCCATCTGTCAGACGGCATCGACAGTTTGATCTAAAATATTTCGAAAACTACACACTTTCGCAAACTGCCCTGCCGGCCTTTAACTTGTTTTGATGCGTATTGAAATTACAGAGTTGGATGATAATTAGAAGCGGAGAGGAGGGGAGATGTTATATGTCCAGCTAGTCCGTTGCGTCTGTGAGACGGGCTGTTAGTACTTAAGGGTTAAGTTCATAGCCAACTATGATTTCCATTTAAAAAAATATATTTTTCATTATTTCTGACAAAAAGAGCAAGCATAGAAAAAAATGACTACGCCACTGGATTGTGCTTAAAAAAGTGCATTAAGAACGTTTTTACACAATTTTATTATTTCGCAAAATACAAAAGTTATGGGCAATTTTCCAAATGGTAAAAAATTTAAAAAGACATCGCATCTCAGTTGGCAGTGAAAATATCAACAGACGGTTTACGCCATTAAACGTATCTCAGAAATTGAGCCCATGACATCTATGTCGGTTTTGCTCTATCTGGTCAGGAAATAGGGGTTCTCTGTTAAAACAGACCAATCTAGATCACCCTGTACATACAGTTTTTTTCTCGAATTTTTCCGATATTTTAATAGTTATTTTGCTATCCTGGTCGCAGACGAATGAAACATATGAGAGATCACTAAAACCTGTCTAGTGGTTCTTAAGTTATATTACATGATAATACTAATAGGTAAAAAATAATTCTAATAGTTTTTTAATGTACTCGTATTTCATATTTTCGCTTATGAAACCCAGTCACAAACTTTACCTCTGTCTCTGTGGGCCGATTACTACTTCAGTTTCTTAACGGGAAAACATACATACCTACATAAAAATGCATATAATATTTTAGTCATAAAGATTTTTGTTTATTACACATTAGTTATTATTTTAATATGTAGTTATGCGAAAATATATAAAATTTTATGGGCTACTGCCTAGTGCTGCAAGGAAAACTTAATTAAAAGTTAAAAGAGTGTCGCTCTTTTGACATAAACACGTGTTAACAAAAGAAAAAAAAATAACTGTACATTGCATATGTGCACATCAAAATAAAAATTTGCTAAACATTTATATTCTGTACGGGGTGATTGAAAACAAAGTTTTGTCGTCTATTTTTTAAATGGATTTTTTATTATATCTTAAATAAGCATAATCAAAAGATTTAAAGTCTGTGGTACTAGAGAGTTATCGGATATCAAATAAATGAAGGCAGTAATAAAGGTTACTCTATAGTTTATATCAAATAAACTTTTTGTCACGTGATTAAGCTTGATTTGGTTTGGTTTGGTTTGGCACAGCGTTGCCCACTTTTACATATTTTCTTCTAATCAAAATATTTTAGGAAACAAAAATAAATTAATTATAAATATATAAACAGTTACTATTTACATCAACAAAACTCACCGCCTTAACAGGACTTAAAGGACTTAAAGGGTCATTACTACCACTTTCCCGTTCAAAATATTCTATTAAAGTTGCGATGAGTTTTTTACGACTATTAAGCTATTTTGTATACTTCGCACTAAAAGAGGTTCTAAAAAGAAGAATGTTCGATTGCAAGGTCTGCTAATAAACATTTCTAAGCTCAAAGTGTCACACTACTATTTATTTGAACCAAAACCCCATAATAAAATACTAAAGTACCAAAACAAATGACAATGTCAGGAAAGAAATAAATAAATGTGGCAACTTGACATTTTTTACAATAAAGCTACCACCTGAATCCCCGGCGCGAAATTTAAATTCCAGTTAGTCAGCCTGGCGCCGAATATGTCTATTGTTGGCAACAATGAATTTAAAAATCGCGCCCTCGATTACGTAATTAAAAGTTTAATTGGATATTAAATATATTTCTCATCATCATCGCATCTGCGCATGCGACGCGATCTCCTTTATATACTACCTCTTTAATTAAAATACAGTTCAGAAAATTATGCCAAAATATTTTTATGTTATTTTATAAATCTTGTTGCTGCCTTTTATAATTGAAAAAATTGAAAAATCAGGTTTAGGTCTATTATCGACACAATCCGGCAACTCCGTAAGAAATTGACATTTGGCATCCCTCTATTGTTCCAATCTGAGAAATATTTAAAATATCGCCATTCGTTTTCTATACCTGTGGTTTTGTCTGTTTCTCATGTGGACATCAGTGGCGTATCCAAGGGGGGGCAAAGGGGGCAATTGCCCCCTCCAGACACGACTCGCGCCGGTCCTATTTATATTTTAAACAATAATTTAAATACCAGCTTCGCAGATATTTTTACAGAAGCAAACAGAAACATGAACGAATTGTTTGGACAGGAAATAAAAAAACCGAATAACTAGTAGACAAAAAAACAGGCCGAATTTTAAAACTGAAACTGCTCAAGATTATTACAGATTATCAATTTTTATTCCTTTTTTAGATCACGTAGTATTACATTTGGAAGAACGATTTGTTAAATACAAAGAGATACTACGGTCATTTAGCTCTCTTATATTCCCTCCCTAAATAAAAAATCCGATTATGAAGTATCGAATCTAAAATATATGCTATAGATTTTTATAAAAACGACTTAGAAAACTCTTCATTTTCTGTAGTTTCGGCTGAATTTAAGTTCTAGCATAGAATATTTGAAGACTATGCACCAGAAGACTACCCAAGTTCCGCACTCGATGCCCTGTTAATATTTGACCAAGAACTATTTCCTAACATATTTATCTTATTAAAAAAAAATTGCACTTTACCCGTTAGTACGGCAACACCTGAAAGGAAATTTTCAACCCTAAAATTGTTAAAGTCCTACCTAAGTAACACCGTAAGTAAAGAGAGACTAAATGGCTTATCCCTTTTGTATATGTATCCAGAAATATCTGTTAGTACAGAGGAGGTACTTAATGAAATGCAGGCAAAAGCCAAAAAGCCTGGATATTGTTATTTAATTTTATTTGTATCTGTGCTTTTACTTTATTCACTTGGCTTTTTGTTTGTTTCTCCTTATTTTGTTATTTGTTTCTTTAATTTTTAGTTAATTTTTGTGTTAATGATTATTTTTTTTGTGATGTAATGTTACTTAGTAGTCTTGAGCCAGTATTATTTGATCATCAGCGAAACAAAGAGTGTAAAGTATCGAGTCGTTTAGTGGTATCTCCATCTGTTCGCCTTTTTTCTTCCTTTTCCACATTTTCAGAGCTTGTTCCAAATATATTTTAAACAGTGTCGGGAGTAGGCAGCAGCCCTTTTTAAGACCTTTGTTTATGCTGAATCCCTTTAATACTGTTTGTCCTTTCTTTACTTGGCTAGTGTTGTTCTTATAAAGTTCTTGGACAGCCTTAATTAATGTTATGCTGATATTCGTTTTCTCGAGGGCTTCCCACAATTTAGACTGGGGTACACTATCATATGCTTTCTTGAGGTCTACGTAGAGGAGATGTATTTCTTGATTTCTTGCCATCTTTTTCTCAATTATCTGTGTCAGTGTAAATAAATGGTCGACCGTGGATCTACCAGCTCTAAACCCCGCTTGTTCTTCAGCCTCCATATCCCGGTATTCTTCCTCAATTCTCTTTTTGACCAATTTTCCATAGACCCTTGAAACAGAGCTCAACACGGAGATTCCTCGATAGTTATCGCAATCGTCTTTACTTCCTTTCTTGTGTATTGTTGTTATATATGATGTCTTCCATTCTTTCGGTATATTTTCACCATTAAGGCACTTTTGGAAAAGACTAGCGAACTGCTTATATAATTTATCCGTGCCGTACTTGAGTAATTCTAGAGGAATTTCACCTGGACCAGGCGATTTTCTACTTTTCAGGGTTTGGCAAATTTGTTTTACTTCTTTGGTATTGATCCTCAGTGGAGAGGCTGCGGTTCTTATTTGAATGTCGGATTGTGGCTGCAATGTTTCTTGATATTCGGCCCTTTCTGCGGTCAACAGTTTAGCAAAGTGTAGAAAAATTATTAAACCATTTTTCTAAGTAAAATATTTGTTATTTATTTATACCTATATACTATTTATCATAGTACCTAGCTGTAATTAGGTAGGTACTGACTTGTTAATGTAAAAAAATATATATTTAGGTATAATACTGAGTTATTGACCCCCCCCAGGCATGAATCCTGGATACGCCACTGGTGGACATTCTGCTTTTTCCTGATCCAGAGTTATTATCATTGTCTTTGCTTAAAATACTCCCTAATTTTACAGAAAGAATTGTTTCAATTTCATACTTCAGTCCAATCTTGTTTATTTTATTAATTATTCTTAAGCATGGAATGCAGGGCAATGTACCTTCTTCACGCTTTCCTTGATTGGATGTTGCTCTTTGATTCTGTATTCCCTTGATAGTTTTTGGAAAAGTGTCTGGGTATTTTGCCACTGAATCAGAAACCTTTTATGAAAAATAAATCTTATAAGAAGTGTTTATAGAACATGTATCACCCTGTACACTGACTCCTTGTGTTTGGATGGATTTTTCATAAAATTTGCATTTCGTACTTTTCCCCTAATGGAAAAGCCTCTATGAGGCAATAATAGTGACGTGACAAAAGAACAGCTAGCACAAAGGCGTGGTAGAAAACATGGCTAACAAAAAGGCGTTCGTGACAGATGAAGGAAGAGATAAGATTCACGATGAAATAGATCATATCCTTCCTTTCTCAAGTACCTACCGCATATTTTTTTTAGTTAGAAAATATGCTTGATCCAATATTTTGAGTATACTTCATTAATAAGGTTTTGAAATGTAGGTACTTCAATATTGTTGATTCTTCAAAGATATAAATAGTATAATACATATTTGTTTATATTAAAATTAAATTAACTGTCGTATCATCCCTTATGTATTTATATCAATGTTTTTTTTTGAGTGAATAAGGAATGGTATCGATTTTCAATGCTATCATGTATACTCGTATATGTGTGTGTGTTAATTACTTTTATAATTATTTATATTTCCTAAAAATAGAAGGCAGGATGACTTTCATTTTCTTTTTAACGCTCAATGAATAATACATGATATAGAAGAAAACAATATAACCATGACTAATAAGAGTTAAAGTTAATGAGAGATTTAAAAAAAAATTAAGAACGAATAATGCATATTAAAAGTATAAGTAAAGTATTTTTAACGTATTCTTTTTGCTGCTAAAGCTAATCTGGATAGGGACTAGTTTGTTTACGCGGAGTCTGAACCGTAGTTTTCGGTTAAATCATTGTCAATGACCTACCGACTTGGCGAGTGCCTAAATCGATTCTTACTAACGTGTTATCCGATCTCATCCGACGTCTAGCCAGCGTAAAAGATGTTGTCAATAGATTTTTACACTGTTGCCATGGAACAATTGCAGGACAATCGGACACATTTTCATATTCATCTAGACATTTTGTAGAGATTCTTGTTTAACAGGAAGAGAGGGTTAATCACCGCGACCTTAAAGATCTATTGTGTCCCACTTTCTTCAGTTATAACTTATTATACCGTCTATAACTTATCATTATATGGGGATCTTCCTGTTGTAGGAGGGAAAGGGTATTTCCCATCTTCCTCTGACAGCATATTATTCATACTCGGAGGAGCGGGCATCTTCCTCCTATGGGGGTATATACCCTTCCACGGTTAGGATTTAGCCTTTCGTGCCCTTCACAGTCGAGGAGCTTGTTTCCTTCTTTATTGCAACCTAACCTCTTTCACTTGGTCTCTCTTTAGACCTGACACCGATATTGTCCCGAATCAATAAAATAGATATAAATATCTCTCTTTCTCTATTGCCTTCTTGGATTTGAGGTTAATTCTATATAGTGAGGACCTTGCCATAGCCCTACTCCCTCAAGTTGATTACTCGCCAACTCGATGTCCTTACAGAAAAAGCTGATGGTATTCCTGCTTGCTTCCCGGTGTAGGACGTTTTTCCATCCTGTTTTTTTCTCTCCTTGCCGGAGCAGATGTAAGAGATTCTCGCTCTCTCTCTTGGCCTTTGGCGGAGATGCACCAGGCTGTTTCTTGGTTTCTCAATTTTCCAGTTTTTCTAGGAGTGTAAAATACCCGCTTTTGTAGGGTATTTCACATCCTCCTATAACAACAGATGTTCTTCTTCCGAGGAGTGGTCATCACCCTCCTCCGAGGATGCTAACCAGTCCGATGATATACATCGGATGTTAGGAACCATATATTAGACAAAAAAATGAAAATGGATTACGATCTTTTATATGCACAATTATATGGCACATGTCATAAACCGTCATTTCCAAGCCAAATTGATATCGTTTTTTTCTTTCGATCATACGGGATATTCTTTCATTTATTAAAAGTAAATGCATATTTAATGTAACACAATAAATAAAAAAAATAATAATAACAAACATACAATAAAAACAAATAAGAACTAATAATATAAAATCACAAATATGTAGTAATATTTTCAAGGCAAGTGATAATATGAATTAGATGCATCTAGTTTGATGTGTTTAATATAAGTTTAGTGGATTGTAATATTTATAAGAAGCGGTGTTATGGGGAAAGAGGACCCACATCAAAAACAAGCAGTAAATCAACGTTTTATTTGTTAACCAGCCAAACTCATCAATCACCTAATGGTTTCATTTATTCCTCTTTTTCTGTTATTTGCAAATTGATCGCTTCATTAGTTATAGTCTAAACATCTGGAAAGATTTATGGGCTAAATCTGTTATGTGAAATTTAGTTAATTGAATAGTAAGCTTTATTTGTTGTAGCTTTTATGAACTGTAAGCATACATATTTAGAGTTCCTTACCTCAAAAAAAAAACGGAACTCTTATAGGAACACGTTGTTGTCTGTCTGTCCGTCCGTCCATCTTTCTGTCAAGATTTTTTACCTCGGGAACGCGTCGAGGTATCGAGTTGACATTAAAACCATATACTCAGGTTCAAACTCCCTAGATCTGTGAAAACGAACTTCTAAGTTAACGTAAAAAAAGATCTCTATCTCTCTCTCTCTCTCTGCTCGTTTCCTCAATCATGAGGGTCGTGACCTCTTTAAAATTCCTGTATTCCCCTTTCTATTGTCTTTTTCCACATTTCTCGATCTTCAGCCTGGTGAAACGATACGTGAAGGGGCAGGTCTGTGACTTGTTTGATTTGATCATACCATCTCATGGGCGATCAGCCTCTACTTCTCTTTCCCTGTACTTCCTCCATCACTGACTATATTGTCATTTCGTGTTCTAGCCATATGTCCAAAATACTGCAATACTCTTCATGCATAATAATGATAGTAGTTACACTAACTCTTCCAGTATCTACTAATTAGTTCTCCTCGCAGGCCAGGGAATTCTAAGCAATCTCCTGTAGCACTAAGTTTCAAAGGAATCAATATATTTGCTTTCTTTAACTCTAGGTGTCCACGATTCTGAGAGCTGTATGAGAAGATTGGAAAGATCAACGTTCGGCCAGATTCATTTTAGTGTTTATGATTATGTATGAGATTTTTCATATTTTGGTAAGTCTTACTCTTGGCCAATGCTGTTCTTCTTTTAACTTCCCCTAGGCATCCGCCCATCTTGCTTATTATTGACCCCAGATATGTAAATTGTTAGACCAAATTTTCCACTCTCGCGCTCTCTTCTGTTTAAGAGAACCGCTATTTTCTCCTCCGTTGCAGCAAATATTGTGGTTTCATCAGCATACCGTAAGTTGCTTATTCGGTCTCTCCCAAAAAGAATTCCACCCTCCCACTCATCTTGGGAGTTCCTCATTATAGCTTCGCTATACTGGGGCTGGCATTTCTGGTTATGGGTGCAGATTTTCATGTGTACGAAGAGTACGGTCAACACGCTTAGCAAAATAAGATGTAGTGAATAAAGACAGAAGGCAAGTATTTTCTCAAGCGCATGAAATCTAGCGTCAGATTAAGGGGTTATGTAATAAATACTTCGTATTTTTGCTCTTTCCGACTTACTAGATTGCCATAGCGATTCACTCCTATACATGTAAACGCCGACTCAAGGTTTCGCTTGCCAGCAGGGTATATGTTAGAGAGTAGGTGATAAAACGCACCCCTGTCTCACACCTCTTTGTGGGTGGAAGTCTCGACTCATCCAATCTTCGATTTTGACTACAGCGGTGCCTTCCAAGTAAAGATTTTTTATTAAGTTGGTTAAGTGATATGGAACACCCATTTGATTGAGTACTTTCCATAACCTATTCCAGTTGACAAAGTTGAAAGCCTTGTTGTAGTTTATGAAGCATATTACCATGGGGACATTATATTCGCGGCATTTTGGTCTAATGTTAACAATTTGATTTCAGGTGCTTCTACCCTTCACAAAATCGGCCTGTTTGCTTGAAATTTTGTTGGCCACGTAGTACCTAAGTCGATTATTTATAATATGTAGCAACGCTTTGCTTGTATGTGATACCAACAAATGTAGAATGTTTAGGAGGGGAGTTAATCACCGCGACCTTATAGATCTATTGTGTGTTCCCCTTCCTTGAGTTATAACAAGTTATAACTCATCAGTCTCAGGGCTTTAACAAAAGCCAGTATCTGAGACGGCTCCACAAAGGCCAGCTCTCCATCCTCGACATCAGACGTACCAAGGTTCATGGCACGAATGGTCGTCGTCTCGGCGCACTCAGTGATAAGGTGTTCTGGTGTTTCCCCATTTTCCCCACAAAATCTGCATTCGCCGTTGTTTCTCAGTTTCAGCCTACTGAGGTGTTCGTTGAGGAGACAGTGTCCTAGTTGATACCAGCAAAAGTGTGCGATAGTTATTACATTTTCGAGTAGTGCCGAATCGATGTTGTCCTGTCTTTAGGCCAGATTACGGTATTCCATATAAAATCATTGAGTTTATTATGAGTTTTATATTGAGTGTGCAAATTTACAACCCTATATGAATAATATTATTTATATCAAAACTGGATAGTGTAAGAAAGAAGAATATGTACGCATAACTTTCAGACTTGTTCAATTAGTATCTGTCAGTTCTGGAAATTGGAAAAACAACCCTACACTACTGTTTCATTTATTAAAAACCGAACTCATCAATCTTTTTCTCTATTATTATCAAATTGGGCGCTTCATTTGTTACATGCTATATGGATATCCAGAAATACTTTAAATCTATTAAGCGAAAATTATTATATAGTCTGTCCAACGAGAAGATCCTTGACAGTGATAGATGTGTCTGTCATTTTAATTTCAAAGTAGTTTATTTTATTTTACAAAGAAATAAGTTGGTACAACTGGAACGCATTGCAGGATCAGTGCCTTCTATTAAAAGATCAGCCTGCGGGCGAGATTTATGACGTCACGCTAGTTAGATATAACGGATTAATAAATATATTGTAGAATACATGGAAAACATAATTATTCCTCAGATTTTTGGTTTGTATTTTAAAAATGATATAGTTTAAATGAAATATACATAATATACAGTTAATAACTACAACATATATACCTATTTATAGTAATAAATACTTTGGCAAATAAACTATGAACCATACAAATGCAGCAAATGTTTTACAATGTACAAATAATGTATAGGTACATAAGATAATGGAGTAAAATGTAAATATATTTTAAATTTTGGGGTTTGAAAATCGATCTAATTTAACAAAAACATTTAATATCTACTAATAGTGATGTATTATTATTTGCATTCACAAAATTTATATGTATATTTTGCAAGTATCAATGTTCGAAAAATTATATTTACAAATAATACAATATTATCTAAAAAAAGGCGTCAGCGATGAATTTATATGTTAAATTATTCTAAAATTTTTGATTTTCTTGGGATTTTTAGGTTCGGGAAAAACGCTGATTAAGTTTTCATTTGGGTTTTCATTATTTTTATTTGGTTTAAAAAAAAACGTTTCGGCTAACTATAGCCTTCACAGTGTTGTGTCATATGAGAAAATCGTGTCAAATATAATCCAAAAATTACATATACAATATAATTCACACCTCATAATGTTTACTGCAATTAATAAACTAATATAAACTTATCAAAAGATGACCACATATTTTTTTTAAAATTATTATTCTTAACACTAAAATTATCTACATTGACTATGGAGTACGCAGTAAACATTATGTGCGTGGTGTGAATATTTTATATGCAATTTTTGGATTATATTCGACACTATTTTTTTCATATGACACAACACTGATGGAGGCTATAATGTTAGCCGAACCGTTTTTTTTAAACCAAATAAAAATAATGAAAAACCAAATGAAAAATCAATCAGCGTTTTTCCCGAACCTAAATTCCAAAAAAATCAAAAATTTAGAATATTTAGAATCAAGGTTCAAGAATATCAAATTTTCCAAGATTGTAAAATTCTAGTTAATTATTTTATGTGTACAGTTATTTAGGGAATGTCATCGATGTTCATTTCCAAGCCAACTAGACGCCGATTTTTTTCGATGATACGGTATAATTCTTACGTAAAATGTAAATAACATTAGACCAATTAAAACAAAGAAATATGAATTTCTTAGTATTTTTTTAGTCAAACACCTTTATTCTTAAAACTTAATTTTGTATTATGCAAATATACCAATTTTATTGTTATTTTATTCATATTGCATTCAGCCATCACTTAAATATTTGATATTAATTTGGTATTATAAATAATCAATACTATTCATTAAAAATTACTGAACAAATATATGTTATGCTTAACATACATTATATATTATCAAACAAAAACACATTCTTCTTTTAAACTGTATCAGTCTTGTCTTTACAAAAATCTTTTTTAAAATTTGAACTCAAAATAATAATCTTTTTTATGATCTCTAATACACATATTCTTTATTTTTCCCTAGATCATAATACCTACTTACGTGTTTGAATCTATCGAAGCTGAACCAACAACACTTGGAGTGGAGATTCCACAATATGAATAAAATAAACATAATTGTCCAGTTTCATTAATACCATCATGGGAGAATATTATTTTTAAATTTATTAAAGATATTTTCAATAAAATTCTCTTGATTTATAACTCGTACCCACTTTTCTTGCTCTTCCGGACACTTTAGGCTGCCTAGTATAATAACTATCCTTAGTAACTATCCTTTCCACCAGGAACACAACAAAGATGAGGCATAGCACCAATAACACACTCCACTTAAGCTTTATTGATGAATTGTTAGAGTCTTAAAAAACACACACAAAAATCACGATAAGTAAAAAATGTATGGGCACTTTTAGGTTAAATCACTTGCACAACGTGTAATTTTTAAAATTTCTATTTTTTTATGCGAAACCGAGAGTGACCATATATCTGGTAGTAGTTTATGTCACTTCAACACCAAAATAATTAGTTTTTTGCACTACAATAATAAATAATACCAAAAATCAACCGACAAAATATGAAACGGAATCTAACCCAATATCTAAGTATGTACAGCTGATGAAGTAAACAAAAGTCCGCCCGTAGGCTGATCTTTTAATAGAAGGCACTGGCAGGATATATTTAAAATTTAATTGACAAGATGACAAGTGATTACTTCAAAATATTGTGAAAAAAACTGTATAAAACTGAAAAAATGTAATCGAGTTATTTTATTTAATAAAAACGGTATGTGTTAATACAAAACAAACAAGAACAAGGCACTACATACCAAAAAAATATAAAAAATAACTATTATTTACTTTCAAGCTTTATGAAACTACCCGCATTTATGATTATATTTATCAATATAACTTATGTACAAATACAAATTTGTAATATTCCACAGGTATAAATAAAACAACATAGGTAAATACAACAACTATTTTATTAATAATAACACCTACCAAATTTTATACCTTAAAGGTGGATTAATTACCTTTAATCTTAATTTTTTTAAACCAGTACCTTTTGACATTATTTTTCTGCACCAGTACTAAAATCCATTATTTACCTATCGTGTGATGTCGATATTTTACAGCTACTCCAGTTTTTAGTATGTGTTTAGTTTGATCCTTATATACGAAATGCACTTATCTACGACGAAATGGTATACAAACTTTATCGATGGCAACTTCATTGGTGTATAAGACTTTCTGCCTGGGCAGCGTGTATTAACCATAAACTGTGCTCTGGGCCTACAGTTAATTTTCACTCGATTTTTCCTCCACTTGACTTCAAAAGACACAAAACACACGTAATAATACGAATCAAAATGCATCATCTTTCAAAATGCAGGGTATTTAACAAAAGTTGACACAAAATTATAACCAATAATTTGGCAAGACTTTGACAAGCGTCAAAAATGACAAAAATCTAAAGGCGAGTTCATACGCATCGGCGTCCGTTTGTCGTTCATCGTTCCGTCAAACCAATAAAATTGAAATACGATCTGTCATTTTTTAAATAAACCAATAAAACTGGTTAAAAACAACAAGACACGACGTATGACGGATTTATATTTAAACCCATCCATAGATAACTTAAAAATTATTAGAAACTTTTTTTAGTAAAATAAATAGATTGGTATGGGACGTCATCTGCTTTTCTTCTGTCATCGTCTGTCGAAATCTTACCTGAGAAAAAAAAACAGAGTATACATATATTACTAGTTGATCCGGGAAACGTTGCTTTTCCATATAAATATTACGCTCAATAGTGGCATTCGGACAATGTTCGAGAAAAATACGCAAATCTAGTTTTGAGCAAGGCATATTTCCCTAATCCGAAAAACTAATTTTATTCGATTATTTTTTTTGCTTATATTGTGATTTGATTGCATTGGTTTCACTCTTTTTGGTTGGATTCGTTTAGTTATTTGACGAGTTTGTTAGCGTGGTTA